TGAAAATGCGAGCGTCGCTGCAGGGGCCGCAGGGCTTGCTGAGAGCGCCAGGCTGCGCTGGGATAACGTGTTAATCAAACGCTCACCCTGCTAGGAGACGTACGGCTGTTTCCTCTCGAGAGGCAGGGAAGTACAAGTGTAGAACTGCCCAAGTCAATGGGCATAAAAGCACTTTCCTGACTAGGTCCCCGCGGCAGCGGTGAGGACAAGGGCGTAACGTGCGCCCACGCTGCGCCGGTGCCTCTCGCTGAGGTGGTTCTGAGCTGCTTCTCACTGTTACTGCACAGAGACCCCGCTCCTGAACTGTGCCAGAGCCGTCACCACTGCTGCTGGGGAGGAAACAGGGCCCTTGTTGGTCACTGTGCAGGGTGGGCCGATTCCTCTTACGGAGCAATAACCATCTTCCTCTCTTTGCAAAACCAGAGGGACAGGGGCACGTTAAACTCCTTCCCTTTGGCTAATGCCAATATTAATAACTAGGGCCACCCTGCCTGCACGGCTGTGCTGCTGCTGCTGCATGGAGGCAGTGCCTCTGCTCCACGTCTGCGTCTCTGCTGTCTCCCCCAGCCCCACGGCAGCCGCAGACCCCTCCAGATTTGCCCCTCTGCGCCCGGCTCAGCCCGCGGGGCGCCCCTGCACCCCCGGGCAGCAAGGCCTGTGCTTTGAGCTCCCCAAATCACCACGACAGGCGAGTTTGGCCCTGCCGGGGGTGGCCGTGTTGCTTAGGAGGAGACCGGGCAGCGCTTGGCCAGGATTTCCGTCCATGTCCCGGGGCTCCCGCTGAACCACCGGCCCATGCGGACACCCCCGCTGCTCCCCACCCACCAGATGCTCTGCGCTTCTCCGGAGCAATTTTTTTTTTTTTTTCAGGACCTTTTCCAACTGATGAAGGAAAACAACAGATTATAACTGTAAAGTTATGGTGAGAGAACTGGATCCTGGTAGCACAACATTATTCCTTGCCAAGAGAAGGAATTAACCCTTTCTTTAGACTCTCCTCCCATTTCTTCCCCAGCTCCCAGTCACCTCTATATACATCATATATTATATTACTATATTCTCTTAAAACTCTGACTTTGCTTCTTTAGTTTCAGTAGCACAATTAATCCAAAAATTAGAAAAAAAAAATAGAAAGAAAGCAGCCCCTAGGAATATTTACAGAGTAGTTCATCTTGCAGAGGAGAGGGGGGTTTGGCCCTGGGAATAGTTTGGTTTTTGCATGTGATAAGCCAGTTTGATTCCACATTCATCCTTTCCCCCCTGGGATTCTGTTCTGATGATGAGAATTACAAAGCTGTTCAAGAGGCTGTCTCAGAGCACAAACCCACGGAGGCGTCCGGGTGGGGGAGAAAACGCACACGGTTTATTCTCTCCCCCTGGGCCTGGCCTGCTAATCAAGGCAGTATCCAAAGGGGTCTGGCCCTGAAAACCAGCCTCTCACTTCCCAGCAGGAGCCTATTCCCACCCCATGGGCTCTGCCTCGGCCTCTCCTCATTGCCCAGCAAGCATTCCCCTCTCCAGGGCCAGGACTTTTAAGGTACTGGATGGTGGGAAGAAGAATGGGACTGTACATACCTGCAATCAAACCCATAAAACGGAAGATATGGATGTGTTTAACATACCAAAAATTATTGCAGTAGAAATACATTCCTGGCACCTCAGCAAAAAGAGGGAAGGGGAAGTGATAGTGGAGGCTTAGTGGATAAGGGGCTCTTTAATAAAACTACTCAACCTGGAAAGCTTTAGTGGCTGCTCCCATAGCTATAAATTCTTTCTGAGATTAGGGCAATGGCCATTTGTGTGAGCAAAAAATGCTCCATCTTGTTCCTCTCCCCCCCACCCTCCCCCGTGCTGTGCACGATAAAATATCCCAACAGTCCCTCTGTGTTAGATCTTTTTTCAGAGGGACTTCTAATGAGAACAGCATCCAACCCCAGAAAACCCCAGTAAGAGTTGCAAAAATAATTGCTCTTAAGTATGGCTGGTTTCCCCAGCTGCTGAGACCTTCTGGCCAACCCACGTCAGTATTTCCGTGAAGACGGCGGTAGTGACCTCGGGCAGCTCTTTGTGGAGGGCATGGTAGGCTTCCTCATACACCTGCAACCAGGAAGACAGTGAAGATCAGCGCAGAAGAGCAACATCCCAATGAACAAGGTCACATTTTTGTCAGAAGCCCAGCACCTCCTGCCCACACCTGGTCATTTTTTTTTCCTAGATGTGGCAGGTTATGAAGCCAAAGAGGTTCCCTGAGCTTTGGCCCACCCCACTTCATAGAAGGTTCCCACTGGACTCTCAAGTTCTGTGCTGACAGAGCCTCGTTTGGATTGTGCTGGAGGCAGATGTTGTTTTTCTTTATGATTCTAGGGGTGGAAAACGAGCATAAAATGGAGTGGTGAGAAAGGACAGGGCACCTTATGTCTCTGCAGTTTGTGTGTTTGGTGGGAGGTCCTAAGTGAGATCTTCTGCTCAGAGGGGCTGCACCCCAGGGAAAGGCCTTGCTTTACTGGAGCCCAGGGCTCGCAGCAGCTCGAGCAGCCAGATCCTGCATGTCCCTTGCTGAGCCCTTCCAACCAGTCACTTTGGCAAGCTGCCTGCTGCAGTGTGGCCTTTATAGGTCACAGAAGGAAGTGGAAGGGATTTCTTTTTTTCCCTTGCTTCTGATCCCCTTTTTGCATTCAGGTCCTCATGGCAAACGGCTCCTCCAAGATTTGATCCCTTCTTCGTTTCCCATCCCTGACATCTGCCAACCTTCCAGCT